CAAAATATTCAGAAATAATAATATGAAGACCTGGCAAGGTTGTGGGGGATGAAACTATCATACTGACTGCTGGTAGCCATGGAAAATAGGACAATAACTTGGAAAAATATTTCTCAGTTTCTTGATATGTTAATTGTCATTTGACCAAAGCTGTAACAACTTTCCTGATGGAGCAGAGCTGTTACTTTGAGGAAAGCTTTCCCTGAAGCAGATCTGTAAGCTGCTAAGCTTATACTGACTTTGTGGTATTCCTTGCATCTGGACGGCCAGGATCCCTTTACATTTGAGCTGAAATGTTTACACTACACATATATGTTTTTAATTGTACTCATTGTCTGGCAGAAAGACATCTCCACTCTGCCTTATGGCATCCAGGTCCAGAAGGTACTAGCCAATCACAGTCCAGCCAGAGTCCTCAAAGCCTGGTCTGGCTGGTAGACAACCAGAGGCCTGCCCAGAGCTACAAGGCTTCCATTACAATGAGCAAAATGTGTGGTGGAGAAACAGGAGAGAAAGAGTAGCGGGATGGTTTCATGTGCTGTGAAAAGAGGGGGAATAGAAGGTGGTAAGGAACAGGCTGAGGGGGTGGTCTTCTTGTCCATTCATGGTCATGGGGTCATCAGGACCGAGGTTGCTACCAAAGGTCATTTCTGGGTCTCTGTTCTTATTGCAGCTTGGGTCTATGTTAACATCCATGGTCCACGCTGCCACCAAAGGGCACACAGGAGCCTGGAGTCTGGGCTGTGTCCTCTGGCCTTGTTGGGATCTGAGCGCTGTGTTGCCATTGGAGTGACAATGATCTGAGAGACCCGAGCTGCCAACCTGGGCCATGGTGTTGTCCATGCCTGAGCTGCTGACCAGGGCCATATCTGTGACCCAGCAGTAGCCAGGGTCTTTGTCTTCCTGACTCCTGTTACCAATGAAGGCCATGCGGATGCCTGAGGTGTGGGCCACCACCTGAGGCCACGTTGGTGTCCAAAGGCTTTGCTGCAGCTGGTGCCATCCTGATCTGTGTGGTCTGTGAAACCACCCGGGAAATGGTGACATCAAGGACGAGTTGTTGCCAGGATCATGTTGGGTCTATGGTCCTACCAGAGCTAGGGTATGTGCTGATGTTTGTGGCCCATGTTACTACAGGGGGCCTTAAGAGCCATGAATGATGATATCCAAGGGCCAGAGTGAGCTGGTTCTGCCCTTTGGTGGACATTGTGTCAAGAGCTGGCCCTGACTTTCACAGGAGAGCTAGTCCCACACCTCACCATGGGCATTGGAAAACTGGGCCTGGTGCCATGGGCATAGGTGAGCTGGCTTCGGCCCTATCCTTAGGCAGGCAGCTGATCAGCTCAGCTACCACCCAGGTCCATATTGGGGTTCTTGGCTTGGCCCATCCTAACATCTACACCATCTAAGGCCTACTGGAATGCTGGAATTGACTGGTCCTGGGGAACAATACCTGCAGAATCTCTGTTACGTGGGGTGACTGCAGGATATCCTAGAGGAGTTTTGTTGAGGGTCCCATGATGATAGTGTACCAGAAACTAGAGGCCATGAACAAGTTCAATGACTCATTGCAATGAAAGTTTACAAGTAAATATGTTGGACAAAAAGGTATACTGTGTGACTCACCTTATATGTAGATCGTATTAAAGTGTAATAGAAGCCCGAGTACTGCTTCTGATGACTTCAGTTGGATCCCCAGGACTCACATTGTGGAAGCAGAGAAATGACTCCTGCAAGTTGTCCTCTGACCTCTACAAGTACACTGTAGATCATGTATGGCCTTGCCAGACACACAAAATAGGCAGACAAATAAATGTAAAAAATGTAAATGGACATAACTTACCAAACACAAAACAAAAGCCAAAAATAACCGATGTTCTTATTGCTGACTGAAATAGACTCTAAAATGATTGCTTTTTTCAAGACATATATCTGAAACAAAGGCATTAAAATGTTAACTTGAACACTTAAAAAGAAGTAAACACATACCATCCAGGAACGAGTTATTAGAAATCTAGAGTTATAATCTTAACGTTTAAGAAAGAACTAAAACTAAAGTGGAATAAAACAATTTTAAAACATGCAGTAATGTTATGTGTAAAATTCATTAGGAGAATGCAAATCTTTCATACTTATATTTCAGTCACACAGCAAAATATGGATTGAAGGAGAATTACAAGAAAGTATAAAAGCCGATTAATAATTGCAGATGAATGCAAAGTAGTTTTCTCAATGTGACCACAATCATAGGAAAATAATTTATTAAATGAGAGGCCCTGCATAACCTAACCTCAAAGGCATATGCCCTGGGAAGACATATGGAACTCTTAAGTCTGATATAATCTTTTTTGTTGAAAGCATGGATTATTCCGTGATGGGAACTTCATTTGATGTGTAATGCAGTTTCTCCCCCTTTCCTTATCAGCATTTACAGGTTATTATTGACAGTCAGAAACAAATGAGAGAAATGTCCCAGAGACAAGTCCATGGCCATCGTCACAGATATCACACGCAAAAGACATACATAATTTTGTAGCTCTCACTATCCTGTGTGTGGTCAGAGATGAATCTGTTTTAACGTGGTTGTACCCCTTGAGCTCTCAGTAAACACCAGGGAGCTAGGAGAGTGAGAATGAGAGGTGTCGTGTGTGTGTGTGTGTGTGTGTGTGTGTGTGTGTGTGTGTGTGTGTGTGTGTACAAGAATTCCTTGGCAGAGGCTGGTCTGCAAAGCCTGGTTGATTGACTCTTAGACCTGCAGTGATATGGAGATGGTGGAAGTCGCAGTCCCAGGGCCTAATTACAATTTCCTTTGTGTTCTCTTGAGCCCATGAGTAGCCACTCCTTGGGCCCCCTGTGTTGGACTTACTTAACACCTTGTCACTAACAGATGACGTTGGGACCTGACATTTAAAATATCAGAATATGTCTCCTTATCAAAGCTTTAAGTTTCTACCAGTCAAAGGACTGCTTTTCATCACATAGCAGCTAGTGCCTGTAGCTGAGGTTTCTCTGCTTTACCATAACAGTCTACTTAATATTATCACCCATGTACTTAAGGAGAGACTATAGTTTCTTCATTCTGTGATTATAAAAACTTCATGAAACTGTTTCCACATTGTAACTTGCAATTTGTACTAACATAAACCTGTCTCACTCATGTTTACTCACATATATTTGACTCCAGAATGAACTCTCTTCTTCCTTCGAGGTGAGAGCTGTGTGTTTACATTGACATTTGTTAGTGTGTGTTGTGTATATACTCATGCTTGTGCAAATATGTCCCTGGATATATATGTGTGAAAGTTAATCACTTACTGCTGTGATAGGCTATGTGTTATAATTCTCCTGGTCCTCTTCAATGATGACCTGGTGTGTAGTATACTGCTTACTTATCTCCATAGTTCTTTACTCATGTGCTGACCGATATCAGTATGGCTCAACACCCATTTTCCCAAACTGTTTTCCTCTATTGCTGTTCTCTATTTCCATGCTCCCTTTGTCCCAGTATGGCTAGAGGAATCCTTTTAAGATGGTATCTGTGTTCATCTGGTGCCTCTGGAGAATTTCCTGGGTCTACGCATTGTACTCTCTGAGCCCCTGTATGGAAAGGAAGTAATGATGCCTACCTCAAAGAATCATTTTCAGGGCCTGAATGGAGAGGAAACAAAACCTGTGTATTTTTGTGGTTGGCCGATTTCCCTTGCCCCCTTTGTGCTGCCCATGGAAGGCTGTGGCATGAAATTAGGGGCCTGAGTGCACACAGAGAAGGGGAGTTCTTGCCATGGGAATGGGAAATGCACAAGCTCACATTCCCAGTATGTGTCTGCAGTCACAGTTATCACTGTATATGCCCAGGGTGGTGAGATGACCTGGGAGGAGGAAAAACATCATTGTGTACCTTCCATTGATGTCGTCTGCACAGACAAGGCACCATCATTCCATCCCCTGGGATTTATGTGCTTCCTCATCCTGGTTTCCTCTATTTCATGAGTTTTCTTTTCCCTTCTGCTACCTTCTAGTGTAAACATAAAGGGAAATATCTGCAACCCAGAAGCAGGAGTTTGTATGGAAGAACCCAGTGTGCTGTGATGTCTGCCAGACCGGACAGAACATTGGGACAAAAGGGTGAGTTAGATCCCTTCCCCCATCCTTATCCATTCAATATAATAACAATACCTCATCTTCTGTTCATTAGCAATCCTGAGGTTAAACATGATCCTGTGTGCATAAATGCCTTCTCATCTCAGCTGGATAGAAAGACCAAAGCACTTTGGAGTAAGTATGTTACAGCAGCTATCCAAGATCTCCCTGATAAGAGCTAGAGAGTGGAACTCAAACATTGTGATTGCCTGCGAGTCTAACCCTATTTGATATTATTGTAATTATAGCTCCTTCACAATCACCCCTTGTAAGAACAAAATCTACAATACATTTACTCTATGTCTATAGAGGACCACATCACATCACTATGCTTCCTGCTTAAAACATCACACAGAACTGAGAGATATTAAGAGGAAAATGAAATTTGTGTTTTGTTTAATCATTTTCTGCATTGATTTTATTTTTCCTTCTTCCAGATATTTCTATGTTTCCTCTATATGTAGGGATAGGTCCCGCCCCTTGGGGGGCGTGTTCGCCTCGGGCTAATGTCTGCCTATAAATTTGGTGAGCATGCTCCCAGCCATTGCTTCTGCTTTCCTGGTCTCCTCTGGAACGGTGGTTCTGTAAGTCTATTTCTACATTAAAGCTATAGATATATATTTTTTTACAATCTGTCTGCATTTGTTTACGCCGTTACAGATTGGCGCCCGATGTGATGGACTAAACCCACTTAAAAAACCTCAGAAGGCTTACAAATAAGGGAGAGAGAGTTTAACACAGATTTTTGCTGTTCGTTGGTGGCATGCTGTAGAGAGATTTCCTGATTCGGCAACAGTAGCAGAAAAAACGCTGTGTCATTTTAAAGTGCGACTTCCTGGGGCTGTGCCGCCATTGCGATCTCTTTCTGGCTCCTGAGGGATACAGAGCTTTTGAATAGAGCATTTGGAGTAAAGTGCTACGATTTGTTTGATGGCAACTAGACTCGCTGTGTTCTCGGGTCTGCTCTGCTTGCTAGAGGCAAGCAAGCGCCTCATCTAAGAGAGGCTTCCTGACTCAGCTTCAGCTGCAAAACCCTGCAGCTCTTAAGAGGTCCTGCCACGAAACACTTAAATGGTGTTGACGAAAAGCTGAACGCATGCTTTTCAGTTTTCAGCCGTAGCAGAAAAAAAGCTGCGCCATTTAAAAATGCCGGGAATGCAATCTTGTGCAACCACTATGGAAGTCAGTGTTTCGGTTTCTCAGGAAATTCGGGATCAACCTACCCCTGGACCCAGCAATACCACTCTTGGGAATATACCCAAGAGATGCCCTATCATATGACAAAAGCATTTGTTCAACTATGTTCATAGCAGTATTATTTGTAATGGCCAGAACCTGGAAACAACCTAGATGCCCTTCAATGGAAGAATGAATGAAGAAAGTATGGAATATCTACACATTAGAGTACTACGCTGCGGTAAAAAACAATGACTTCTCTAATTTTGCATGCAAATGGATGGAAATAGAAAACACTATCCTGAGTGAGGTATCCCAGACCCAAAAAGATGAACATGGGATATACTCACTCATAATTGGTTTCTAGCCATAAATAAGGGTCACGGAGTCTACAATAGGTGAATCTAAAGAAGCTAAGTAAGAAGGGGAACCCAAGGAAAAACATATAGTTATCCTCTTGGCTAAGGGAAGTAGACAAAATTGCCGGGGAAAAAATTGGGATCTTGGGGGTGGGGTGGGATGGGGGTAAGGGGAGATGGGGAGAGAAAAGTTAGAAGGGAAGGAGGTCGGGCCTTGGGAAAACAGGAGGATTGGGATAAAGGAAGGTTAGACAGGGGAGCACGGAACCACAATTCTTAGTTAAAGGAGCCACTTTAGGGTTGGCAAGAGACCTGACTCTATAGGGGCTCCCAGGTGCCCAAGCCGAGGTCCCCAGTTAGTTCCTTGGGCAGTTGAGGATAGGGAACCTGAAATGACCCTATCCTAGAGCAATACTGACGAATATCTTGCATATCATCATAGAACCTTCATCTGGTGATGGATGGAGATAGAGACAGAGACCCACACTGGAGCACTGGACTGAGCTCCCAAGGTCCCAATGAGGAGCAGAAGGAGGGAGAACATGAGCAAAGAAGTCGGGACCACGAGGGATGCACCCACCCACTGAGACAGTGGAGCTGATCTATTGGGAGCTCACCTAGACCAGCTGGACTGTGACTGAAAAAGCATGGGATAAAACTGGACTCTCTGAACATGGCGAAAAATGAGGGCTGATGAGACGCAAAGGACAATGGCACGGGGTTTTGATCCTACGTAATGTGATGGCTTTGTGGGAGCCTAGCCAGTTTAAATGTTCACCTTCCTAGATATGGACGGAGGGGGGAGGTCCTAGGACTTTCCACTGGGCAGAAAACCCTGACTGCTCTTTGGACTGGAGAGGGAGGGGGAAAGGAGTGGGGGGAGGGGGAGAAGGGTGGGAGGAGGGGGCATAGGGTGGGAGGAGGGGGAGGGAAATGGGAGGCTGGGAGGAGGTGGAAACTTGTTTTTTTTTCTCCTTTTCTCAATAAAAAAAATAGAAAAAAAAATAAATAAATAAAAATAAAAATGCCGGCTTTCTGGGCTGTCCTGCCAGGGCAAACTCTGACTCTTTTATGCAGGCAGTTCGTGCGGTTTGCAAGCACAGGC